ATGAAGCTCTTAATTCCACTCGTGAGAACCCGTCCTCCTCCTCATGAGGCTCCTCCCATCGCTCCACCCACATCTCCTCATGAGCCAGGCGGAGGGGTTAGTAAGCCAGGTCTCCCTCTCCCTCACCCTTCCTCCCTCCTCGCTCACCCCCATCTTAATCAGGTGCTCAATCGCATCAACTCGTCCTCCCCTCCTCTCTCACCCACCAGTACCCTCCCGCCCCACCTCTCCCTCCTCCTCTCTCACCTCACTCCCTCACACCTCCCCCCCGTTTGCCGCACCGACCCAACAACCCACTCCCTCTCTCCCATCTGCGCCTCTCTCTTCTCCCCTCCATCTCCCCTTCATCTCCCTCCTCCCTACAACCCCCGTTGCCCGTTTTTTCCCCTCCATCCCCCCGTCATCCCCTCTCTTCCCCCCTCCTCCCATCAACCGCCCTCTCTGCCCGCCTTTCTCCCCTCCTCCAAGCCCCTCTCAATTTCACCTCTGTGCAACCAATCCCTTCTGCTGCCACACCTGTATCTTGTTCTGAGACGTCTTAAAATCCCTTCTTTCTTCACCCCCTCCAGGCACCTCGCTTTTGCACCTCTGCGCAACCGCTCCCTGCTGCTGCCGGTAGTGTCTCGCACCGCTGCTGGCTCTTTTGCTTGGAACGAGAGGGCCTTGGATCCTGTTGTGAGACGTTTCAGAACCTGCTCCCGCCATCCCCCTCCAGGTACCTCGCCTTTGCACCTCTGCTCAACCGCTCCCTGCTGCTGCCTCTAGTGCATCCCACCTCTGCCGCTGGTGCCTCTACTCAGAACGAGGGGGCATGGTTCACCCGTGGGTTCAGGCAAGGGAGCCGCATGGACGTAGGCTCGCCTGGCTCTTCCGCTGCTAATCCCTCCGCCCACTCATCCTTCTCGTCCACCTCCTCTTTCTCTTCCTCCTCCTCTCGCTCCTCGTTTCTCTTCAGCACCTCCCCGCACACACTCCCCAGCGCATCTGTGAGCGGCTTGTCCCTCTCGAGAGTGCAGAGTTACCTGCGCACGTGGCTTATGAGCGGAGAGAGTAAGGAGGAGGAAGAGGAAGGGCACAGAAGCCTGGCGCTGTCAGCGTCCACGCACACTGGCAGGCGGCTTATGAGCAGAGAGACACCAAGGGGGGTGGGAGAGGAGGGTGGGAGAGGAGAGGGCGGTGAGCGAGATGTGATAGAGGAGGGAGTGGTGGGAGGGCAAGGATGGGGACATGGACTTCTGCGTGCGGGAGCCACGAGTGTGAGCTGCGGTATTTCTGCTGCAAATATACCCGGTCGGAGGGCACTCGGCGCACCAGGTGTTTCCGGGGCGTCAGTGTATCTTCAGGTGTTTTACCAGGTGCACCAGCAGAGCGGATAGGCCTGGGAGTGGATGTGGACGTGGCAGCCGTGCAGCAGTGCGTGGGGCAGGGCCAAGTGGTCACTGTGGACGCATACCTGAGAGGCGAGGTGTTGGGAGCGGTGGAGAGGGGTGGTTGGGCCGGATGGGGGTGACTGGGGAGGGTGGGGGGCCTTTTTAACCAGAGGGGAAGGGGGAGGAGGAGAGAGGTGGAGGTGAGGTGAAGATGTGGTGGTGGTGGCACGGCGGCGAATCCGTGCGTGCCACGTGTCAGCGGTTCATTCGTGAGGCGCCATGGGCGAAGCTGTTACCCCATTCTGATTATGATTGGGGTACCGAGGGCGCTACAGCCGGTGACAGCTACAGTGGTGATAGTACTAATATCGGTACTAGCACCAGTACCAGTACCTGTGCTGCTGGTGGTGCCGGTGGTGGTAGCGCTGGTGGTAACAACAGTGGCGACACTAACAAAGGTGACACTAACGAAGGTGACACTAATGATGGTGCTGCTGCTGCTGCTACAAAGGTGACACTAACGAAGGTGACACACCGCGGTCAACATCCAGCAAGGATGTGATGAGGATGAGGGGGGCGCTGGGGGTGGAGCATTGTGGGGATGACTGGGTGTGTGGGGGGGAGGAGACGGAGGATGTGGGGTGAGGGAAATCAGCGAGGATGAAGGCATGAGCATGAGTCGCCAAATGTTGTACTGCGTTCCCCTCTTGTATATCTCGTTTTGAACCGGCTCGATTCAAATGTCGCTTATGTACTATGGTGCACTGCACTGCACACTCAAAGCCATATTTGCGGTATCAAGGACGTTGGCAGAACTGAGGTGGTTGGTACAGTACTTGTGAGAACAGCGAAGGTACGTAACACAAGTGGTGTGTGCTGTTGGCTCCAACATGTGCCAGTCTGGGAAATGAGGAGGGTCGTGTGTTTGCATGCCTGGGACAAAGGTTTGTGCCAAGGAGGGCCAGCCAGACACATCAGGAGATGCACCTTGTACCGTATGGGCTGTTATTCCCTGCTTTGCTACCTGTAGTTGCGTTTCAGAGCTACCAAGTCAGTGGCAGGTATTCACCTCAGTAGTTGGGGTTGAGTTGTATGGTAAGATCCCGGAATGAGCTGAAAGGATTCGGACTGAACTTTCAAACCTCAGAATACATATACCACAAATCCTGGCTGTACAGATATGTGCAAATTCACCAAATCTCAGACATTCTCAAACTCTCTCCAACTCCTCAGCTCATCAAACCTCTCTCCACCCCTCTAAGCGCCGGGCACAAAGTTCTGCGCGTACGCCCAGGCGTTGTTGGCAGTGGGGTCGGCGAGGTGGTCCGCGAGGTTCTCGAGGGGCCCCTTGCCCGTCACGATGGCCTGCACGAAGAAGCCCAGCGCCGACACCTGCGCGAGGCGGCCGTTCTTGAGCTCCTTCACCTTCAGCTCCGCCGCCGCGTCGGGATCGTCCGCCAGCCCCAGCGGGTCGAACGCGCCGCCCGGGTAGATCGGATCCTCCACCTCCTGGAACCCCTCCAAACCGCCCACGCGGTAGCTCTCCACCGCGCCCAGGAGCACCACCTGCAGCACGACGCATCGGGTTACCATGTTACACAGGGATGCGTCAGCCTGTGTGTTTGCGATATCGCGATGGTTAACGACAAGGAAAAGCAAAAAGGCCCCGAAGGAACCGACGGGGCCAAAGCAGGGAATGTGATAAGAGAACGGCCTAAAAGTAAGAAAATAACGGAGCGCATCTGGAAGGCGAGCGCATTGAAGGAACTTCCTTGAAGGTAAGAAATCACTGAACGACGACCGCACCTGGACGGCGAGCGTGGCGAGGATGCTCTGCGCGTGGATGAGCCCGGGGTTGCCCAGGTAGTCGAGCCCGCCCTCGGAGAAGATCTGCGCGCCCGCCTTGAACCACACTGCCTCTTGCAGCGGCACTCCGTTGCGCGCCAGCAGCTCGGGGAAGACGATGCCAAGCGCGCCGAGCATGGCCCAGCGCGAGTGAATCACCTCCAGCTCGCGGTTCTTGGCGAACGTCTCGGGGTCCGACGACAGCCCCGCCGTGTCCCACCCGTAGTCGCCGGGGAACTCGCCCTTCAGGTACGCGGGCGGCGCGCTGAACGGGCCCAGGAAGAGGCTGCGGTCCGGGCCGTACCACTGGCTCAGGCTGTCAGCGGCCTTGCCGGCGGCCTTGCGCATCGTCACGCGACACTCCACATTGCGGACCTTCGCCGCGAGCTCCGCGCTCGCGCCGAAGAATGCGGAAGCGGCGGAGACCGCGGTGGCGGAGGAGAGAGCAGCCATGATGCTGGTGGGAGACTGCGCACAAGCTGAGTAAGGCGGGCTGCTGCTGCAGGTGATAGGAGAGGAATGAGCCGGTTTGACGATTTGCTGCATGAGCTACGAGGTCTTTTATGGTAGATATATGGAGTGACCGAACTCCAATTCTAGTGCCAAAATCAATGTTCGGGTGTGAAATCGAGGCGCGGCTGCTAGGCGAGTCGGGGGTTTGGAAAGAATGCGAAGATTGAGTAACCGAATTAGCGCGCACCACGTCAGCTCAGGGCCTTCGGTAACGTGCTTCGAACTGGGACTGCTTTTGAGTCGACTCAAAAGTCAACTCGGGTGCTTCGAACTGGGACTGCTGGTTTTGGTATCCAGCGAACTTGGTCCAGCGAACACAGATTTGTCCAAGTTGGGAATTCATGCTTCGATACAGGGTCCCTCGGTGGAAAATAAATGAAATGCGTGTTTTGTAGCTTGTAACTATCTTGCAACGACGTTATTCTGAGCAGGCTGAGCTTGGGTTTCGATACTCTCATAGCTGCCCTAAAACTAGTGGGCTCCCTAAACTAAGGAGGTAGTTTAGGGAGGAGGTAGTTTAGGTCGTGTAAAGAGGGAGGACCATCACTTCCGTTTCGCAGCAAGTAACAGTGTAGGCGAAGTTCATTTTTGTTCAGTCGATTTGCGAGCAAAAACCGAAATTGTTATTTGCAATGCAACTTTGTGCTTTGCATTTTGGGTCGAGCCAGCTTCGGCACATTATAGTGTGGTGTCCCGCCGCGCCCCTATTTCGACTAGCCTTTAGTTCTATTGCCCTAGCTAGCTCGCACCATGCGGAGGGAAGAGTATCGGAGATCAAGGACTTAACGCTCGTCGAGCGAATCGGTGCGCACTTGTACATTGCCCAAATTCGACAGAGGGATCCCCGATGTTGCAGTGTTGAGATTCTAGCATGCGTGATTTAAGCTTGTCATTGTCTTGTAGTGAAGCTGGAACTTTGAAATCCATGTGGTTCTCAGGAACGACAAGTCAAGGCAAAACTAGCGTAATAAATTGGCATTCCTTATTCTTCCAGCACGTCGGTTCCGTCGCCATCGCCTCCCCCGATCGCCCTTGCTTCCCCCCGTCGCGTTCACTTCCCCTGCTCCTCACTCTCGCTGCTTCCCTGCTCGTCGCCCACGTTTCCCCTGTCCGGGCGCGGACACTGCCGTCACACACGCTGCTTCCTGTCGCTCACCTTTCCCTGCCCAACACCCACGTTTCCCCTGCCAGTCGCCCACGTTTCCGCTGCCCGTCGACCTCGCTTACGCTGCTCGTTTCTCAACATTCCCCTGCCCGTCGCCCTTGCTTCCCCTCGTCGCCCTTGCTTCCCCCCGTCGCCCTTGCTTCCCCCCGTCGCCCTTGCTTCCCCCCGTCGCCCTCGCTTCCCCCCGTCGCCCTCGCTTCCCCCCGTCGCCCTCGCTTCCCCCCGTCGCCCTTGCTTCCCCCCGTCGCCCTTGCTTCCCCCCGTCGCCCTTGCTTCCACTCCCATCTCCCTCTGCATCTCGCACCCTTGTCACCCTCCCGTTTCTTCCCCTACTTACTCCCTCCTCCCACCTCTCACCGCCCTCCTTCCCCCCCTTCCTTCCCCGCATCCTCTGCCATTCTTCGTCCCACAATCTGCGCCTCTTCCCCCTATCCTCTGCCCCTCTTCCCCCCATCCTCTGCCCTGCTTCCCCCTATCCTCTGCCCTGCTTCCCCCCATCCTCTGCCCTGCTTCCCCCCATCCTCTGCCCTGCTTTCCCCCGCCCTCTGCCCTGCTTTCCCCCGCCCTCTGCCCTGCTTCCCCCCGCCCTCTGCCCTGCTTCCCCCCGCCCTCTGCCCTGCTTCCCCCCGCCCTCTGCCCTGCTTCCCCCCGCCCTCTGCCCTGCTTCCCCCCGCCATCTGCCCTGCTTCCCCCCGCCCTCTGCCCTGCTTCCCCCCGCCCTCTGCCCTGCTTCCCCCCGCCCTCTGCCCTGCTTCCCCCCGCCCTCTGCCCTGCTTCCCCCCGCCCTCTGCCCTGCTTCCCCCCGCCCTCTGCCCTGCTTCCCCCCGCCCTCTGCCCTGCTTCCCCCCGCCCTCTGCCCTGCTTCCCCCCGCCCTCTGCCCTGCTTCCCCCCGCCCTCTGCCCTGCTTCCCCCCGCCCTCTGCCCTGCTTCCCCCCGCCCTCTGCCCTGCTTCCCCCCGCCCTCTGCCCTGCTTCCCCCCTCCCTCTGCCCTGCTTCCCCCCGCCCTCTGCCCTGCTTCCCCCCGCCCTCTGCCCTGCTTCCCCCCTCCCTCTGCCCTGCTTCCCCCCCGCCCTCTGCCCTGCTTCCCCCCTCCCTCTCCCCTGCTTCCCCCCGCCCTCTGCCCTGCTTCCCCCCGCCCTCTGCCCTGCTTCCCCCCTTCCCTCTGCCCTGCTTCCCCCCGCCCTCTGCCCTGCTTCCCCCCGCCCTCTGCCCTGCTTCCCCCCGCCCTCTGCCCTGCTTCCCCCCGCCCTCTGCCCTGCTTCCTCCCGCCCTCTGCCCTGCTTCCCCCCGCCCTCTGCCCTGCTTCCCCCCGCCCTCTGCCCTGCTTCCCCCCGCCCTCTGCCCTGCTTCCCCCCGCCCTCTGCCCTGCTTCCCCCCGCCCTCTGCCCTGCTTCCCCCTGCCCCCTGCCCTGCTCCCACCATCCGGCCTCTTCCTCCTTCCCTCCCTCCCTCCTTCCCTACGCCCCCATGACTTGCATCTCACGCCAGCAGTGCAAGTGTCACGTCTCCGCACCCTCTACCCTGATTATTGCACCCCAGCTTTGTTCTTGTCACACCACAGCCCCTTCCGTCCCGCCCTCCCTCTCTCAGCCCTTCCTGTTTCTCCTTCCTTCCCGCGCTCCCTCTCTCATCCCTTCCTGCCTTAGCTCTCATCCCGTCCCGCCTGACCCCTCTCCTTCCTTTTCGTCCTCCCCCTCTCATTTCGTCCACCCTGATATCACTCATACCTTCCGCCCTCTCTCTAGATGTGATGGGTTTGAAACAGGCCCTAAGACAGGCCCCCAGATTCACTTTTGGAGGCCCTGATTGATCAGTGTCACCCTGTGTTCAAAGGCTGATTGACAGTGTTACCTAAAAAAGAAGTCTGAAAAATCAGTGTTACTTGTCGAAAAAGACCGATGGATCAGTGTCCCTAAACTTACAAAGCGTGTTCTGGCTCGTAATTAAGGAGGGACATGGTGATGAGGTCAGTGTCCCTCCTTAAAGTCCTTCATTCAAAGCGAAAATCACATGCAGCCTTGTAAAACATATGCAAAGGTACCACGAGCTCAAGAATCACCTTCACAGCCCGACGCATCATCACAGCTAGTAGCCTGTGCTTCTTCCCACTCCTCCACAGCTGTCTCTTTGCCCCTGCCATCCTCCTGCCCCTCTTCTGCTGGTGCAGGGCTCTCCCTAGCATTTGAGGCCGCCTGATGGAGCAGACGGGCTCTCCGGGCCCGTCTGTTCCATCAGAAATTTTGGAAAACTTATCCTGATGCATCAGATGTTTTTTTTTCTATCAGAATTCATGTTACTCTTGCCGAGCGTGGAGTTATTATTGAAACCGGTAGTCGAGTATAAGAATACATAAATGTTCTGATCAATACACAGTCTACGGCAAGGTTTGGTTGAAGTGAACATCCTACTTAACGTATGGCCCCGGATAGAAGCGCAGGCCTATGTTAAGCACATGCGCTTGTATCTCTGGAGTAATGTGCTTATGGCCGATCCTCAATTATAAGCGCACCCCTTATAAAACCCTGATTTATTATAAGCGCATGTGTAAACATATTAAAAAAAAAACGGATTAAAACAGTAACGACTTCCGTTTTGAAGCGAGTCCACATCCACTTCTACTCTGTTTGACTCCCTCGAGGGCGGGCTCGCTCAAGAAAAGCGCAACAGCGCGAAGTTGACCTAACGGGGGGGGCTCGGGAACACCTGTTGTCTGTGCGCTGCGAGCGAGCGACTGCAGGCTATTGGTCGTACACTGGGGCAAGCCTGTGCGATGCGAACGAGCGACTGCAAGCTATTGGTTCGTACACTCTGCCGGGGCGAGCATGACACATTCCTATGCGAAAGTGACGTGTCCTTGCCCTTGTGCGCCAGCAGAGAATCGCCCTCGCGCGATTTTGATTCAGAACGTGTCAGATTTATATGACATATCTCTTGTACGCTATAGTGGGGTAGCACATATGGGGTACAGCTTTCTAGGGGTTTGTATTTCTACCCAACTTTCACTTCGTCATTCATTCCTCGTTCTAGTTTTCTCATGGTATCGAGCAGGTTCTCTCGTGGGAACTGTTCATAGGGCCCACCGATTCGGTTTTTTTTTTCCTGCCCGGAGCGCGCTCAGCCCCTGCCCGAGTCGCGCTCCCCTCTCTCGACCCTGTCGCCCCGCCTTAGCGGCCCCGTCGCGTCGCACTAGCGGCCCCGTCGTGTCGCCCTCGCGGCCCCATCCCGTCGCGCCGCCCTAGCGGCTGCGTCGCGCCGCCCTCGCGGCCCCGATCCGCTGCCCTAGCGGCCCCGTCGTGTTAGAGGTCCACTAGCAGAAGAAAGAAGAGAGGGTTGCACTAGCAAGAATGAGGATACAAATAGCAAACCCTAGAAGGGTTGTACTCGTTATAGAGCACCCCACTACAGGCTAGAGCATAATATTCTGACACACCCCCATAGCCAAAGTGGGGTGTAATCAGCAGAGCAAGTAAAGCAGTACAAGCTCAGGGTGGATCACAATGTCACCACACATTCTGAGCACAAGTTGAAGAAGCAATAGTTTAAAGTTCACAATTATGAGCAAAGCTAGAGGCTATCGCAGAGGGCTAGTGTGGAGGAGGGACTATGAGAGGAGAGGAGGTAGTGGGCGGCAGCTGAAGCTGCTGGCACACGGCGCAACTGGAGCAACTGGCACACGGGCAACTGGAGCAACTGGCACACTGGCAACTGGAGCAACTGGCACACGGACTACTGGAGTAACTGGCTCCGCGGCTAACAGTAGCGACAGACGAGCAACGGACTCACGGGCGACTGGAGCAACGGGCTCACGGGCGACTGGCGCAACGGGCTCACGGGCGATCGGCGCAACGGTCTCACGGGCGACTAGAGCTACTGGCTTCTCGGCGGCCACCCCCTTCAACCTCCCCAAACTATCCCACCCCCATTTCACACACCCCCTACTGCACCCCTAGGGTGACTCACACCCCACCCCCTAGCACCACTCCGTCGACTCCCACACACCCACCCCCTGCACGCGGCCCCCCTCAGGTCGCCTCGACAGGCGACGGGAAAAGGGGGGGGGGGGGGGGGGGGAGGCGGTGCCGTAGGTAGGGCGACGGGGCCGGTACGCAGGTAGGGCGACGGGGCCGGGGCGCAGGTAGGGCGACGGGGCCGGGGCCGAGGCGCAGGTAGGGCGACGGGGCCGGAGCACAGGTAGGGCGACGAGGCCGGGGCCGGGGCGCAGTTAGGGCGACGGGGCCGGGGCCGCAGGTAGGGCGACGGGGCCGCAGGTAGGGCGGCGGGACGACGGGGCCGCTGGCGGCGGTTCGGGGCCGATAGGAGCGGCGACGGGGGGCGACGCGCGGGCCCCCCGTCGCCCGTCGCAGCGCCTCCCGGGGGCGACGCGCCGAGTGACGGGGCAGAAACCCGTCGCGCGCCGCGGGGCGCACGGCGGGCAGAAAACCGCCGCGCGCCTCGGGGCGCACGGCGGGCAGAAAACCGCCGCGCGCCATGGGGCGCACGGCGGGCAGAAAACCGCCGCGCGCCTCGGGGTGCACGGCGGGAAGAAAAACTGCCGCACGCCACTGGGCGTGCGGCACAGAGAGTAGGAGTAGCAGTTGTAGCGGAAGCAACGAGGTGGTGAGCCCACCCACAGGATCGATCCAAGGGGATCGACCTGCTCTGATAGCATGTGAAAGTTTAGAAGAAAGAAGCGAGGGTTGCACTAGCAAGAATGAGGATACAAATAGCAAACCCTAGAAGGGTTGTACTCGCTATAGAGCACCCCACTACAGGCTAGAGCATAATATTCTGACACGGTGCCTACTCCTGCGGCCCCGACGCTGCCCTTCCCGGCCCCGACGCCGCCCTTCCTGACCCGGCCCCGCCTCTGCTGGCCCCGTCGCCTAGCCCTGCGGCCCCGGCGCCGCCCTTCCCGGCCTCGACGTTGCCCTTCCCGACCCGGCCCAGCCTCTGCTAGCCCCGTCGCCTACCCCGCGGCCCCGGCGCCGCCCTTTTCCGGCCCGGACGCCGCCCTTCCCAACCTGGCCCCGCCTCTGCTGGCCCCGTCGCCTACCCCTTCGGCCCTGAGCCGCCCTTCTCGCCCCCGGCGCTGCCCTTCCCGGCCCCGGCCCAGCCTCTGCTGGCCCCGTCGCCTACCCCTGCGGCCCCGAGCTGCCCTTCTCGGCCTCGGCGCTGCCCTTCCCGGCCCCGGCCCAGCCGTTGCTGGCCCCGTCGCCCGCCCTTCCCGGCCCCGGCCCCGCCTTCACGCGACCCCGCCGTTACCACTGAGCCGCCAGCGCCACCCGAGCCGCCCGAGCCGCCGCACCACCTGAGCCGCCCGAGCCGCCGGGGCGCCGCATGCCGAGCTGCAGCTGCCGCCGAGCCGCCGTACCGCCGAGCCGCCCGAGCCGCGCGAGCCGCCGAGTCCCCGAGCCGCAGTTGCCGCCGAGCCGCCCGAGCCGCCGAGTCGCCGAGCCGCCGAGCTGCAGGTCCTGCCGAGCCGCCGAGCCGCCCGAGCCGCCCTGTCCGGTAAGAGCAGCGCCTCTACCACTGCACTGCCCTTACCCCATTGTTCGCGCTACTAGTCTACTGCTGTCACGGCTACCCCTAGTGTCCTCGCTTTTGACGCTGAGGGTCAAGCCATTGACTTTGACGTCTGGGTAGATGACCTGCAGCTTTTCTTACAGTGCGATAGGGCGGACGGTCTCTCCCTCTTTGACCTCACCTCTGGTGCCTCTCCTGCCCTTGCTGCTGATGCTGACGCCACTGTTCGCTCACAGTGTGCCACACGCGATGCTGCTGCACGTCTTGCTGTGCGTCGCCACCTGCCTACCTCTGAGCGTGCGCACTTTAGCCAGTACAAGAGTGCTCAGACCTTGTACGACGCTGTAGTTGCATGCTACTCCTCCCCCGCCACTGCTGCACTGAGCCGCCTCAGGCTAGCGTACCTCTTCCCTGACCTTGCTGCCTTTCCCATAGTCGCTGACCTCATTACTCACCTCCGCACTAGTGATACTCGCTACCGCGCTGCGCTTCCTGCTGAGTTCTGCGCCAAGAACCCCCCCCCCCCCCATGTACATCACCCTCTACTACATAGTCACCCGGCTCCCTGACTCTCTTCGGGTAGTCAGGGACCACTTTCTCTCAGTTTGCCCCACCACTCTCACCGTTGACCTCCTCGAGAAGGCCCTCCTAGCGATAGAGAAGAGCATAGTCGCTGTAGGAGCCTCCCGTGGTGACCCTCGCACCCCCATCTTTGAGGGGTGTTCCCCCTCCCCCCTTTTGCCCTCTATTGCCTCTACTGCTGTGGCCGACCTCGTTGGGCTTGAGTCGGTCGGCACTGCGTCTACCCCTAGCGGGAGACGCCGCTCTGGCAAGGGCAAGGGGGGCACGGGCGCTAGAGGAGCTAGCGGGGGCGGTCGAGGCGGCAGTGGAGGCGGCAGAGGGAGTGGGGGTGGAGGTGGGAGTGGTGGCGGGGGTGGAGGTGTCGGT